GCTCCAACACTGGAAGTCTTTGTGAATGCTCCAACACTGGAAGTCTTTAAGAAGATGTTAGATAGCCATTTGTGTGAAATGGTATAGGGTTTCTTGCCTAGGCAGGGAGTTGGACTAGAAGACCTCCAAGGTCCCTTCCAACTCTGCTCTTGTATTATTGTAAAAGAACATACCTCGTGTGTGTGGCCAGAAAATGGCATTTAAGACAGCACAATTTCTGACTACAATGGTCCGATTGAGATCGGCATATGTGGGCCTGATTGGGGTAGATTGCAGGGGTGATACAGAAATATAATGTCATGTCATTTTATTTGTATTGTATTTGTATTGTATTTATTTGTCTTGTATGCCGCCCACTCCCGAAGGACTCCGGGCGGCTCACAATAGACAAGGGAAAGGGGAAAACTAGACAAAGACAACACTTATTCTATTTTACATAGTTATGTATTGAATTATTGTGTTTTACCCTACTCTCATTTTAAATTGTTTGTTTAGAATTTTAATGGTAATATGTGAACCTATACGTTGATATGGCCTATAGGCTAATCAAACAACAGCAAAGATTCACTTAACAACTGTGGCAAGAAGGGTTGTAAAATGGGGCAAAAACTTAACCAAAGTCTTTATTGGCCAAGTGTGATTGGACGCACAAGGAATTTGCCTTTGGTGCAGATGCTCTCAGGGTACATAAAAAAGACAAGATACATTAGTTAAGAATCATAAGGTACAACACTTAATGATAGTCATAGGATACAAATCAAGAAACAATCACTATCAATATAAATCGTAAGGATACAAGCCAGTCCTGCAGTCATAAGTGGGAGGAGATGGGTTATAGGAATGATGAGCAGACTAATAGTAATAGTATTTCAGCCTTAGTGAATGGTTTGACAGCGGAGAGGGAATTATTTGCTTAGCAGAGTGATGGCATTTGGGAAAAAAACTGTTCTTGTGTCTAGTTGTTCTGGTGTGCAGTGCTCTATAGCGTCGTTTTGAGGGTAGGAGTTGACACAATTTATGTCCAGGATGTGAGGGGTCTGTGGATATTTTCACAGCCCTCTTTTTGACTCGTGCAGTGCACAGGTCCTCAATGGAAGGCGGTAGTAGTTGTTTTTTCTGCAGTTCTGATTATCCTCTGTGGATAGTCCGTGTCTGCCTTGTTGCATTGCAGAACCAAATCAGACAGTTATAGAGGTGTCTGTTTTGATGTACAGGAAAGAGCATTGTTTTAGCATACACGGAAACGAGAGTGTGAACAAAAACACCTCAGTGTGTAGAAAGGCTACCGTAGAAATATAATGGTTGGAAATACGCTTGCAACATTCAAGGCATTCATCCAGAATGCTCATATCAGATTTTTTGTGATTGAAAATGAAAAGTCTTCTGCCTCCATTCCAAAGCCATTAAGCTTTACTTTTTGGATAATCATATATAATCATTTTTCATCTTCTATTTAAAGTCTCTTGACCCTTTTGTAGGGGTAATGTTTTGCAGCAAATAAATGCACAATATGAAGTGCGGGATTCATATTGAATGAATGTGCAGATCCATCATTCTTGGGTTCCAATCTTGCTCTTAAATATATTGGTGCATAGGAACAAAATGATTAGATTCTATTTTTTTAAAAAAATCAGTATATGAGATGAATAATGGAAAAACTGGGGATTACCACTCAAAACTTGAGTACATTAGAACTAGCAGCTTGGATTTTATATTAAGAACGAAATCCATTAATAAAGCTGTACCTAGTGGAAAATATGCATATTTGATACAATTACATATAAAAATGCATACATCTACAAAATGTTGGCAAGGACTAAATGTCCCTGCAAGCAAAATAATTCCTAGGAACAATCGTTAATAATACTGGTGACTTTTACTATGGGATTCTCTGGATAATAATGTGAGTTTTTAATATATGCACCCGTGTATTGTGAAATGAAGTCACTTCGTGTGTATTAAGCTTAAGGTGAATGAAAACCACCCTTTAAAAACAAAAGAATTCTGGAAATTGAGTATTTTTTCTTCTTTCTTCCCTCGGATATTTTCTATATAAATATGCAAAGTAGCTCAGATAAAATTTAATTGGAATGTTCTACATAGGGACGTGGTGTCTGAGTGACTAAGATGCTGAGCTTGTCGATCAGAAAGGTCGGCCGTTTGACGGTTTGAATCCCTAGCGCCGCATAATGGAGTGAGCTCCGGTTATTTGTCCCAGCTTCTGCCAACCTAGCAGTTTCGAAAACATGTAAAAATAGCAATAGCAATAGCAATAGCAGTTAGACTTATATACCGCTTCATAGGGCTTCCAGCCCTCTCTAAGCGGTTTACAGAGTCNAGTCCAACCAGGTCAAAACAGGAAGTTCAGAAACAGGATATTTTTTTTATTTACTTTAGATGAAAGGCTTTCCAAAAAGCTTTGAAACCAGAAATTTATTTATAATGAGAAGGCAGCACGGGGGCACCCAAATATGGGAGAGGGGAAGCAACTGGCATGATATGACGAACAAAGAAAAACTAAGCGCCTCCTAGGCTGACTGCTAATCAGACAATGCCAATCAGAGAATGCCAAAGGGAATGTCCTACTCAGAATGTGATGTTCTTCTAAGTTAATTAATTAATTGGCACCACCAGGTTTACCTATTTCTTTTAATGATTATAGTTGATC